GACTTCAGTATATCTTGTGAGCTTCTTCTTAAAAACTAGAATGGTTGGGAGGTATTCAGATGAGTTATCATTTAAGCAACTAAAAAAAGAAAATATAATATACATTCAAAAAATTAATTCAAAACATGATGGATTCCATTGTTTTTGAAGAACAGAGAGGAGTTCTATCATCTCCCTTTGTTAAAAAAATGAACCAAGAGAATATTTCATTACTTAATTTTTGTGTTTGGAGGCAGAGAAGAATGGGGCATCAGTAGTGTCTAGGAACTGTCTAGGTCACTGCCCAGCATCACTTTTTTACTGAAGAGCATGTCTCTCAGTCTTTGTTCAGCTAGACTCTTAAAAGTTAAGTTTACATAAGTCCTAGCCAGCAGATTCAAAGACAGTTACTATAAAAGTAATGTAAAAGTCATATAAGCTTGAAGTATAAATGGGAGAAAAGAGATTTTCATTTCAGGACTGGAAAAGTAAAGGGGTGATGTACTGAAGGGGAATTAAATAAGGAAAGTAAATGTGAGGTTTGAAATTCATTAGTAATATTACTTCTGCTGATTTTTCAAGAGATACTATTTAAAACCAAGGCAAGGCCTAAAGTTATGAATATCTAAATTCAATATTAGTTCTAAGTCTGTGTGATTGGAAGAATCCAAATAAATGACATGATAAATATACTAGGTCATGGTAATTAAACTTAAAGACAGTTTTCTTTTAAAAGGTGCATCTTTAATTTAAGCTACCTTTTTAGACTCAAAATGAGTGTCTTATTTCTGATAAATTGAATTTTGATCTAGAAAGTAGAAACTAATTACATTTAAAGTGCTCCACTTAAGGCTGCTCATTAATATATTGAGAGTAGAAATGACAGAAAAAGAGCAAAAGAAAAACTAATACTTGCCTTTTTATATTTATTTTACAGGAAATGTGTTTGTTGTAAGCCTGGCAGTTGCAGACTTGATTGTAGCTATCTACCCATATCCACTGGTCCTCACATCTGTGTTTCACAACGGATGGAAACTGGGATACCTACAGTGCCAGATTAGTGGCTTCTTGATGGGCCTAAGTGTCATTGGATCAATCTTCAATATTACAGGCATCGCTATCAATCGGTACTGCTATATCTGCCACAGTCTCAAATATGACAAGCTATACAGCAACAAGAATTCATTGTGCTATGTTGTTCTTATATGGGTCCTAACATTTGTTGCTATTGTGCCCAACCTGTTTGTGGGATCGCTACAGTATGACCCCAGGATTTACTCATGTACATTTGCACAATCTGTGAGCTCAACCTATACAATAGCAGTTGTGTTTTTCCATTTCCTGCTTCCCATAGCTGTAGTTACTTTCTGTTACTTGAGAATATGGATCCTCGTTATTCAGGTAAGGCGAAGGGTTAAACCAGATAACAACCCTAGGCTGAAACCACATGACTTCAGAAACTTTGTAACCATGTTTGTGGTATTTGTACTGTTTGCAGTCTGCTGGGCTCCTTTGAACTTTATAGGCCTTGCTGTGGCTGTCAACCCAAAAACTGTAATCCCTAGGATTCCAGAGTGGTTGTTTGTATCTAGTTATTATATGGCATATTTCAACAGCTGCCTTAATGCTATAGTATATGGACTCCTGAACCAGAACTTCAGAAGAGAATACAAGAGAATTATTGTCACTTTTTGTACAGCAAATGTTTTCTTCCAGGATAGTTCTAATGATGCAGGAGACAGAATGAGAAGTAAACCTTCTCCACTGATTACAAACAACAATCAAGTGAAGGTGGACTCTGTCTGAAAATGGGAATCTTACTGTCATTCAACAGCATCCAAATAAAGTCTCTGTTTTATTAGTTCTACTGTTAAATATTATAGCGAAATATATCTTCTACACTGAGAGCACTTTGATCAAATTCCTTTCATAGTATTTGGGAGCTTGTATACAGGTCCTATTATACAATGGTGTATCTCTTGTATAATGACATAGTGATATCCTTGAGTGAATAACAAGTTATGCATGGATACTTTTTTTTTTCCTTAGATGAACACCTACCTAGAAAGAGATTGAGAAAAAAGTATCCACACTGCCTAGTGCAGTAAAACAAAACATAAAACTCTTCCTGCCACTTTCTACCTACTTTTTCTGGCCTAGTTGTGGTCTTGATTCTAAAACCTATGGAAACTTCTTTTAAAGGATGAAATCAGGCCTTTATGAAATATATTAGGAGACATGAAGTGAAAAATCGAGGTAATTGAAAATTCATTAGGATTTTTGATAAGTACCTCTATCTATATTGTTTTGCTACTAACATGGACACAATTATAATTTTCTTTGGATATTAAACCCCAGCAACCCTCCTAAGAATGACATTTTCAATTGACTTCTCAATTTTAAAATAGCTTTTAGAGGGAGAAATATGCCTGACTGATTATCTTCAAAGCTCCAAGGGCAGGAGGATAAACAGCAAGGAAAAAAAAAAGCTATGATTCATCAGCTCAAGCCATTCCAGCATGAAAAAAATGTGTAGGAGGGTTGGGAAGAGAAATTTAAATGACCATTATTTCTGAAGAGGTAGTAACTCATGAAATAGGGAAGTGCCCCAGAGGAGATTCTCAGGAAACACTTTCTAGAAACGTAGGTGAGGGAGACTGTTAAATCTCACTTGTGTACAGGACAGAAGTTCTAAACCTCTGTGAGAAGAAGATTAATGTGTTTAATAGGAGTGGTGAGTTTTGTCTAGTTAGTGGAATGATAACCCCATGCAATCCTGGAAAATAAGACACAGATACAGGATGAGCATTTAGCATCTTTTGGAAATTGTTCTCCTGAGAATAGCCTGAGACTAGAGGTTATTTTGTAATCTGACATGGATGAGCTTTTCAAGTTAATAATTAGGTGTTTACCACAATTATGAACATAGTGGAATAACCCAGAACAATTAGACACCTTTAAAAATAGAAAAGAGAAGATACTAGTTATGACAGTGGCACAAGGAGGAACATGTGACTCTTAGGACAGGACGTGTTATGTGGACTTTCCACAGATAGCAGGCACCTCTTCAGTGAGGGGAAGTACATTGTGAAGTGAGGAAGAATAGCTAGGCTGTCTCCTGCAACAAAGAATCTCTGTTTATAATGAAGTCCTCTGGTGGAGAAAAGCAATTCACAGTAGGATTCACCTTCAAATTGACCTTAAAAAAAAGAAGCATTTAGTTCTGGAAAGAAGCTCCAATTTTCATAGCTTTTAATGCTCAAGGGTTTATACCTACGGCAGTGTTCAAGTACACTTGAGCTTTTCCAAGCCAATTCCAACAATGTCAATGGGACTGGGAGTTTCTGAATAGCCATCAGACTTCTGTTAATCTATGTTAAAATGTGAATTTTACATAAAGATGATTTTTTTTTAAATATTATTTACTGTACTGGAGATTTTCTTGAGCTTATATGTCTTAGAAAACAACAGTTACTCGACGTCATAGAACTTAAACTGCATACAAATCTAATGGCATTTCATCTTTCTTGGATCACAGATTATCATACCCTTGACTGAATAATAAACTAAAAGGAAACAGATTCGTGTTTACTTGAAAGCACCACTGACACTTCATCATCTGACCGGTTTATTACCTTAAAAACAGGTGCCTCATATCATGTTAACAACGGAACTAATGAACAACATTGTAAAACCCTTGATATGAACTAGAAAGTCAAGGCACTGCCAAGGTGCTTGACTCATCTTTGTTTACATTTTTCAGTCAGAAACACTGTGTAAATAACCAGCTCTCTTCTACTGTGGTATCATCATGTGATGCGATATGATACAACATGATTAACAGCATAAAATATATCACAGCTTTCTTCACTGTGATTTCATCCTTGGAGGATGCTTAGAGCTGTAATTTTATTGCTTTGTGTGTAGTGATTTTAGAATAGCAAGGGAGGCATGACCACCTTACAAGAAAATTAGTTTTTCATGCAAGAAAAAACAATATTTGAATTCTTACAAAAATTGCCTTATTTAAAGCATATTTTCAATGAAAATTATGTCTTATGATATATCTATGAAAGTAGCATAAAGACAGCTTAAGTAGCTTAATCATTAGTAAGTTTAGGATTCTCAAAGATCTTTCACTTGCCATTTCCAACAGAAAATGTACATGTGTATCATGTCTACATATTTATGAGCCGGTTCAAGATACTGTATCCAATATTGTGGGTTATCTGAGGAATTAAAATCCCCTGTAATTCGCAAGTGCTAAAATATATTTTTGATGACAATGAAAATGCTTTGCTATATACAACAGAATAAATTATACCAAAGGTATATATTTTATTGAATAGGCTGTAATAAAAATAGAGAACATTTTTCAGATCTGTATTTTGAAATATTTGTATTAAATCCAAATCATAGAATTTGCATGTTGGTGCAAATTTTTAAGCTGCTAAATATAGCAATAATTTTAATAAATTAATCCCTGGTTCTTCTTTGGGGGGAAAGTCTTTAGAATTTAGTTTAAAATTACTATGGATGAAAAATTTGAGCAACATCTGCTGCCCTCATGGGATTACTTTTACATTTACTGCCACTCTGAAGTAGATTTTAGGTAAGGATTGCAAAACCACTTATTGCAAAAGTGAAAGAATAATCATGTTTAACTTTGCAGCAGTGGTTACTTTTAATCCAAGTCTATTGCTTCACAGGAGTTGAAGTGATTCCCCTAAGATGATCAGCAGCTTTGTCAGCTGCTCATTGACAATGGGCATGACAATATAAGTCAGCACCTCACAACATTTGACTCTTTATGGTCATCGTAAAGGCTGATGAAAATAATAATGATTTCTGTCCATTCTAAGGAGATGGAGTTAGAAACTTATCCCAAATTAGTTGCTTCTGTGAAAGTAGATGAGCCTTGATGTGTTGTTTTTTTTTTTTTTTTACATTCCAAAACATTAAATTTTCCCTTATATTAAAGGCTAGAATAGAACAATTGCATTATTAAGAGTTCTGTCTGGATGATTTACATAGTGTATTTGTTCTATAGCAGTCATCAACCCTGGACAGATTAATTTCTAAATTGCGAGTCTTAGGTGTCTGCCACATCTGTGAGGGCCCATTTCTTTTCTATTTCCTATCCATTTCTGGTCTGAGACCCTGTGAAGCCAAAGAACCTCTGTGAAGGAGCAGTGAATGCCCCTGTAGGCAACACACGGAAGACTTATATAGCATAATTGACCCCTACCTTATCCTACAAAAATTTCTTTCTTATATCACAATTTTGATTACGTTGACAATCTGAATATGACCTTAATCAACACATCTTGTACCCTTACAGACAGGTAGTTTTATTGGTGGTCATCTGCATTGCAAACTTCATGTTAACAAAGAAGCTTGGCAGCATTACATATTTACCAGCAAAGAGAATCTTAATGAATATATTAATATCAAACAGGGTATTTATTGTAGTTGAACTGTATGCAACTGTATGCAACATTGTAGTTTCATTTGGAATAGCTTGCTTAAGAATGCTTTGCACATTTTCTTCTACCACTGGGCTAGTGCAAGTGCAAAGATATAAAGCAAATATATGTTATTTCAATAGGCATAATATATAGCAATGATTTTATTATTTTTCTTTTTCTTATTGTTTGTTTTAGAAGGCAGGTGTAGGAGTCATCCATAATAAACACACTATCAATCTGTATTAGTGTATAGTGCATCCTTCTATAATCATCACATCTTTTTCTTCTTTTTGACCACTTTTGAAATGGTATCATGGGAGATCTGATTAATTATGACATACTGCAGGGAACTGTTATTTCCCTTTAAATGGCACTGAAATAAACAGTCATAAAAAAATCTCCCTAAAATATAAGACAGAAGTACATAAGTAGATGTGGTCATCCAATTTTAAATACTATTTCAGAATCTCCTTCTATTTGAAAAACTTGTTCACAAACTGTAGTAATATAGATGGACTGTTATTTGTTAATTCTTTTCTAATAACTGCACTTTCTAAGTATCATTAATAAGGTTTATGAATAAATAAGAACTACAAATGTCTGTCATCTTGTCACCAAGGCTTGGGAAATCACGTATGCTAAAGCTGAATTTTTTAGAAGAAAAAATATTCAAGTAGTGGCCTGGCTTTTAGCCCCTGTACTGTATCTCAAAATTTTGCCTGTGTTAAGAATTCCATTATGTGGTTTTATGAATTTACTTATTAAAAATATTGTTCCTACCTCAAAGACGTGTCTGAGAGATTGCAATATGAATAGGGTGGAAAAGACTTAGAGTACAAGTCAATAGCTTTTATAATTTTAAATAGAAAAAAAAGTAAATTCAGCAAAGAATTACTTATATTAATAATGGTAACAGAAAATGTTTCCTCAGTTCAAAAAAATACTCATCACTCAAACCATCCCTACTACCACACACTGACCAAAGTATGCACATTTTGAAAACCATGTTATTCATAATTGTATATACATATTATTCCAAAGGTTACAGCCAAACAGCATTTGAGATACTGTGTTTCATTTTCGTCTCACATAAACCAGCACAGCTTCTCTGTGTCGTGTCAGCTGAGGATACTGAAATACTAGATTTCATAAATCTAAAAATTAGCTATTTTACGCTATTTACACAAGCAATGTATAATTTATTTCTAAGGAAGTCCACAACTGTCAGTTGTCCAGGTTGCGGGAGAATGTGAATTTGCCTGCCAATTATCTGCAAATTTAACTTTCTGCAAATTGGAACTTTCTCTGCGATTTGTCATTTTTACAAGTAAATATGTAAA